TCATTATATTTTTCACCGGTAGATTCTAAGAATTTTTGTTTTAATTCTTCAACCTCTATAATCATATATTGCTTTATCTCATGATTTTTCCTTTATCTTTATCTTTTCGTCTTATCCTGAAATCTTGATGTAGATTAATTATAATCCTATCTTTTCCCTTAAGAGTTTTATCTAAAAGAGCATTTTGTACTTGTATATTATATTCTAAATTTTCCAATATTTTATGTATATCCTCAAAATTTTCTTTTGTACTATTTTTAGGTAAATAAGGATAACTAGGTTTCTTATGTTTTTCAATTTTTTTCAAAAATTCTTCAATTATATTTTTTTCGTCAATTATATTCATCATTATTTTAGGTTCGTAACATGGCTCTGATACCATTTTAGGAGTAGCGTGCATAATTATTTTAAGAGATTTTTGAAATCTTTAAACATTCTTAGTGTTTTTTATTCAATTATATGTTCCTTTGTTATTTTATGATTTATGAGAAGGATATAAAATCTAATAATTAATATATATCTTAACCTTTTATATGCATTACACATCTTATGGAGTTCAGGTTTCCTCATTTATAATTGAAGGATACTTAATGAAAAAACATATTAAATAATATCTAGAATTAAATCTATCAAAGATTATTGGTTCAAAAAATTTTGGGGACTTGATTGAAGTCTCTATATTTTTATAGTGGCTTTCGTTGCAAATCCTATGTAAGAGGGTATTTTTGGTAGTTCCTACAATTAAAATGGTTAAAGGCTATTTTGGAAAAATGACCTTTTCGTTTGAGTCATTTTCATGTATTTTCCCATCGCATGTCACATCACTTGGTCTTATTATTTAACCTCACATCACTTATCACATAACATATACATATATAACATATGGATGATTTCCACTTAGAACAGTAGGCACGAATAATTAATGTATTTAGATGTTTTTTACACGGGCTTTGAAATTTAAACTAGCATAGAATATAAAGAAATTTAAGGAAAAAATGTTAACTATAGCAGTTGAAGTTCAAAATTACAAAGAATATCGTCATGTTAAACAAATTATTATAAGCTATGTGAAATGAGTTGATTGTTTCTTTGCCTTCAATTGTTTCTCTTTATGATTAAGTGGAACCGGGTTCTCATATGTCCTACGATTGTTATCAGATTTGTGACCTCTGTACAACATGCAAATGTGCTAAACTCCCATACCTGATCACAAACAGATACAACATCTTATATTCAATTCATAACAATCAAAAAACGTAGAGAAAGTAATAGAAATATCTTAGACTGTATGTAGAAACTTGGTCACTTTGAGTCACAATGAAGTAAAAAGTAGTACAAAATTATGCAATTACACAAAATAGAAGAACATTTTGGAATGTTGACAAACTTGAAGAAATACATTACACATTCATCAGTGGAGGCCACACTATTCACATAAAATGCAGACAAATTAACATACGGTCAATACATGTCAAATCAAAGAAAATCACTCAAAATGTAATGAAATTGGAAGTGAATTGCCTATTTAGTCACTGAACTTTCAACCATGCACGCAAGGGGTCACTGAACTTTCAAAATAACGTAACTAGTCGCCGAACTTTACAATTCTTCATCCCAAAAGTCACTAAGCAAACGACCGTCAATATATTGGATGAAATTTCCACGTGGCAGCGACGTGGCGAGACAACTCAATGAATTTAGCCACCTCCTCAAAATTGCTACACACGTGGAAATTTCAACTTGTCAAACACTTTTTTTAAAAAAAAAAAAGTGGCAAAATCTAATAAACTCGTCTCTCTCTCCCAATTTGTCCCCCAAACCAAATCCACAAACCCATCCCGTCTCTCCCTTTCCGAACTCAAATCACCAACACGATTCTCCCCACAAAATCCCTACATACCGAGTCAAAGCTACCCTAACCACGATTCGACAGGAGGAGCATAGGTTGCAATTAAGCGAATTTCGTGTGAAAACAACAAAGAGACGAGGGGTTTCTTAGCTGAAATTTCAAGCTTGGGAGATTAAAGCACATAAATTTGGTGGTGGGGGGGGGGGTTAAGAAGAAGCTGAAGGAAAAAATAGAAGTTAGGAATCTGAAGGAAAAAACAGAAACCTATTTGGATGGTTCGAAGTTTAATTCTGGAATTTGTGGTCAAATACAGAACTTGGTTTTTGTAAGAGGTACCGTGAGGCTCTTGAATTTTTCGAGATTTTAGAATGCAAGGATGACAATGATGTTAATTCCAGTACTTGAGATCAATTAGAGGAGTCAAAAGGTGTTTAATTATATGCTAAATTCTATGTTTGAGCTGGATTTGTATATAAGAAATAGGGTGTTGTCGATGCATGTAAAATGCGGGATGATGATTGATGTACGTATGTTATTTGATACTATGCCTAAGAGGAACTTGGTTTCTTGGAACATCATAATTGGGGGGCTTGTGGATGTTGGAAATTATGCAAAGGCTTTTAGGTTGTACCTGATGATGTGGGAGTAGTTTGAAGATGGGCCTGTATGATGATATCTTTATGTCCAACCTGATCGAATGACTTTTCCAATTGTTCTCAGTTCATGTGCACAAATGGGGCTTGTGGATGGTGAAAAGCAGGTTCATGATGCCTTATTGAAAGATGTTGCTTATACTGGTTATGCGAACTTATGAGAAGAGGAAAATTGAAGAATTGGAGGTCATGTATGGGAGACTCGTTTCTGCGTTTTGTACACCAATGTTTAGAGCAGGAAGTATAGTGATGCTAGATGATTTGAGATTTTTTTTTTTGTAGTGATGCTAAATGTTTAGAGTAGGAAATGTAGATGGCTTGTGTTTGATGTTTGGTAATTGGATAATTGATCCCATTTTGACATAATTGGGTATATGTTATGAGTATTTCCATTAACATTTTGTGACTATTTCACGTTGTTATATTGTATTGAAGCTTCATGTTGAAATGTTGTTAATTTACCATGAGACAAACTATTAAAGAGTAAAGCTATATGACAACCAGGGGAGAATTACACCAAATCATTTATTTCATTTAAATATATGAAGCATGTACCGCTGGGATAACAAAACTAATTTCTGTGAGCACTTTAAAAACCACAAAACATATTTTTGTGAGCACTTCAGAAACCACAAAACAAAAGTTAGTGTGCACATCCAAAAAACTGGTATGCACTAACCACATTAACAAAAACTTCAAATCATCTAGTATCACTAAACTACATACACTAAACATTGGTGTACAAAATAACTACACTGCAGGCACCATTGAATCCCAGAACTGGCTGCATTCAACCTCCCCCAAAACCCCACTTGAAACTCAGACTTTGTCAATTGCCTCCAAGTGCTCGATCCTCCTGCAAATGTAAAAATGGATATAAGACAACCATATAAACTATTCTAAAAAAAACAATATTATTTGTGCTTCAACGACACCTCCGCTGGTGTCAACTCCTATCAATGTCTTCAAATTATGGTAACGTTTGTTATGACCATTCTCCATGCATACAAAACACGTCATAACCACTCTCCCTTTCTTACTTGTATGAACTTGTGACTATGATTGAGAAGCTGCAGTTTCTTCGGATCCCTTTCGTCTTTTCTCTTTCGTTCTTCCCTTGCTTGCTTCATACCATGGTGGAGGAAGTACATCAAATCCTCCAGTTCGAGGCCACAAATCTTGACCATTGATGGGATGTATCACATGTTCGTATGTCCACATGTATGTTTCAACCGAAAACCATTCCGACACATAAGATTGTATGTCATGACCTCTACCCAAGATGCAAGCGATCGCATGTGGACAAGGAATCCCAGAAATCTGCCATCTTCTACATGCGCAAGTTCGATTCTCCATATCAACTACAAACTTCTCATACCCATACTCAACTTGATATTGATGAACCCCATCCCATCGCAATAAACATTCACAGGCAACGTCCCTATACTTCTCTAATTTTTTTTGTATTTTGGGGCATATGAGCTTGTTATAGTTTCTTAGCTTATCCCGCCTCACGTGGATTCTGTACATCAAATTGTTTTGAATCCCAATAAACATTGTGAGTATGGATTTCTCTCTATCTTCCAAAATGAATTTGTTGAAGACCTCACATAGGTTATTAAGAAGCATTCACACTTCGATTGTTCCGAGAAGTGAGATCTACTCCATTCATTTGGCGGTCATTCCCTCAATCATCCACGTGCCTCTTTGTTTACTTGTTCCGAGAAGTGAGATCTACTCCATTCATTTGGGGGTCTTTCCATCAACCATCCATGTGCCTCGATCCAATACTTGAATGATCCTAAGTGGCTTGACTTTGCTATACCCAACAAATAATCTTTCAACTGCTTACCCTTGAAACCCGCAGTAAAAACATTCTAGTACATATGCCTAACACAGAACATATGTTCTGCTTCCTGAAATAATTCTGCCACAACATTTATCAGTCATTTCTGTCTATCACTCATGAAGGTAATGGACATCCAATTCTTTATTGCTAGATCCTCATACAACAACATCAGAAACCATTGACAGGAACTAGTATTCTCTTTCTCAATGACGCATAAGCAATTGGATATGTACAATCGTTGGCGTCTACCCCAACTGCTGCTAAAAGTTGACCTCCATATTTTCCTTTTAGAAAACATCCATCTATACCAACAAAACACCTACATCCTTCAATAAAACCCCGCTTACATGCATCTATGCAAACATAGATATCCCTGAACACATTGTCCAGCGTCATTCCTTTCTATTAGAACTTTGGCATATTTCCTAGAATTCCATACAACTATCCTCGTAATATGAACTCCTAAATCTTTTCTCACCCTACTTCTAAAATGTTTCGTCTTCCATACGTCTAGTCGAGATTTTAGGAGATTCATTATTAGCCGTTCGGTGAATTTTCATTCGTACTTATTCGTATGCACCTTCAAGCAAGTATGGTCAAGGTAATACATTTTTCTTTGGACTGTGTCTTGACCCTGTAGCTTAGACGTTCACAACTTCCATGAACAACCTTCCTTACAAACACAATGGAATCTTTCCTTATCATTTCGCTTGAAAATCGGTTCAACCCTATTGAAGACTGCATGATTTCTAACTACATATTTCAATTTCTCAAAAGACCCAAACAATAAACCTATCTCGAGCTGAGGATTTCGCTTTCTAGGAATAAATTCAGGGAAACTAAGTTTACCAATATTTTCCTCAGATTCTGAACCGTTTCCAATTTCCAGCTCTTCAGAAGATGCATTCGATGAGCTATCATAGTCCTCGTCTACTTCATTATGCAGAGTGCTATGCATACGAAGTTCTATCCCTTCACTCACATTACAGTCAAACAATAAATCATAGTCGTCACACACATCGTGGTCAGAGTCAACGAAGTCCGAATCGTCGTCTACCTCGTCGACTGCAAAAGTAAGAGCAACAAGATGAATACAAATACAAAATTTGCTAAATATCTGTAATATTTGTATGAAATACAGTAGAAACAAACAACAAAAAATTAATTTCAGCCATGGTGATCGATTGTTACCTATCGATCGTTGCTTGCCTTCAGCCATGTTGGAGTTCTGGACTTGGGGACTGCTTCTGCGATTCACCTTGAAGTATTTTGGGGATATGTTCAGGTCGAATCGTGGTGGGGAATGTAGGGTTCTTGGTGATTTTGAGGGGGTTGAATTGTGGTGGTGATTTGGGGGAGAAATTGGGGGAGTCGCGTTGGTGGGTTTGGTTTATGGGAGAAATTGGGAGAGAGATAGACGGGTTTATTAGATTTTGCCACTTTTTTTTTAAAACGTGTTTGACAAGCTGGAATTTTCACGCGTGTAGCAATTTTGAGGAGGTGGCTAAATTCATTGAGTTGTCTCGCCACGTCAGCTGCCACGTGGAAATTCCGTCCAATTTATCAACGGTCGTTTGCTCAGTGACTTCTAGGATGATGAATTGTAAAGTTCAGTGACTAGTTGCGTTATTTTGAAAGTTCAGTGACCCCTTGCGTGCATGGCTGAAAGTTCAGTGACTAAATAGGCAAATCACTCATGAAATTGGTCACATACTGTTTTGAGATCAGATTCTGTTTGATCATGATATGCAACACAGAGGTCACAACATAATATATTAATCAGTCACATATAGTCACAACTAATATAGGCATGATAACGTTAATGATGCACATGTATAGTCACAGATAGTAACATTGGCAGTTAACATTGATATCAGACAATTTTTTGCTTACATTGTATACAAGAGGTATTCTGCAATGGCAATTCTAAAATCGAAATTATTAAATAACAAATGCAAACAATTTGATCATACAAATAGAAAACATAGGTTACAAATTGGGTACAATTCACAATTACTTTCAAAAATAAACCTCAATTATCAATGTTATAAGAAGATTTTATACTCTTTGAGAAAATGAGTACAGTGATTTCACCTAAGATCCTCCTCGAGCTAACAAGGATATTCTGCAACTCCAGAAGCGTCAACTTCAGCCGTCCTTGTCCACTATTGTGACTTCACAGCTTGATTGTGGCTCGAATTTGAAGCTTCATGGAGAGATCGAGGTGATTTTATTGAAAATTTTATGAGATCTGGAATTTTGAGATAGCTCATGAGGTAAATAGAAGCTTCAATTTCAACGATTTTTGTAATGTATTGTGACTGCATACATTAATTGTTGCTCGAAATGGAAGATCTATGGAGAGATTGAGGTGATTTTGTTGACATTTTGGTGAGATCGTGAAGATTGAGAGAGTTCATGAGGTATACAAAGATTGAGGTGGTAGAGAGAGAAAGTGAGTGTTTGATTTTGGTAGGATAGTGATGAATTTTTTTTTAAAAATGGTATATTTACAAATTTCAAGGTTCTATTTTGATATATATTTTATTATTATCTATATATAATATATATTAATATTTGGAATTAATGACTGAATTTTGAAAGATTGTTAGTTTTGAAGTGTAATTGTTATAGTCTAGTAGTTGTGTACTTTCCCCTTAATGTAAACAGTCTTAGGGATTTCATGAGAAACCCACTGCCCACACATAACGAAGATTTTTTATTGCCATTGAAGGAANGCATGATAACGTTAATGATGCACATGTATAGTCACAGATAGTAACATTGGCAGTTAACATTGATATCAGACAATTTTTTGCTTACATTGTATACAAGAGGTATTCTGCAATGGCAATTCTAAAATCGAAATTATTAAATAACAAATGCAAACAATTTGATCATACAAATAGAAAACATAGGTTACAAATTGGGTACAATTCACAATTACTTTCAAAAATAAACCTCAATTATCAATGTTATAAGAAGATTTTATACTCTTTGAGAAAATGAGTACAGTGATTTCACCTAAGATCCTCCTCGAGCTAACAAGGATATTCTGCAACTCCAGAAGCGTCAACTTCAGCCGTCCTTGTCCACTATTGTGACTTCACAGCTTGATTGTGGCTCGAATTTGAAGCTTCATGGAGAGATCGAGGTGATTTTATTGAAAATTTTATGAGATCTGGAATTTTGAGATAGCTCATGAGGTAAATAGAAGCTTCAATTTCAACGATTTTTGTAATGTATTGTGACTGCATACATTAATTGTTGCTCGAAATGGAAGATCTATGGAGAGATTGAGGTGATTTTGTTGACATTTTGGTGAGATCGTGAAGATTGAGAGAGTTCATGAGGTATACAAAGATTGAGGTGGTAGAGAGAGAAAGTGAGTGTTTGATTTTGGTAGGATAGTGATGAATTTTTTTTTAAAAATGGTATATTTACAAATTTCAAGGTTCTATTTTGATATATATTTTATTATTATCTATATATAATATATATTAATATTTGGAATTAATGACTGAATTTTGAAAGATTGTTAGTTTTGAAGTGTAATTGTTATAGTCTAGTAGTTGTGTACTTTCCCCTTAATGTAAACAGTCTTAGGGATTTCATGAGAAACCCACTGCCCACACATAACGAAGATTTTTTATTGCCATTGAAGGAAAAAAAGAGGTCTGACTCCTATTAACATAGGAACTGATAGTTGAACAAATGTATTATCCACGCATCGGACCATACAGCTACTGTTATCAGACCCAGCCCTAAGACCAAGCCAACTAGGCAATGGCCTAGGGCCTCTAATCCTAAGGGGACTCAAAATGGAAGAAACTACATGGCCCAACTAAAAGATGAATTAATTAAAAATTCATTTAACTATAATTTTTTTATCGATTCTAGCTTAGATTGAGTTTATTCAAAAAAACCTTTTTTTTTTAAGTTTAATATACATGATTACTTATGAGCTATTAAATGAGACCAATATTGTTATGGTAATGTGATTTAATTTAGAAACTAATATTACGTATTAAGTAGTTTGCTTTAATGAGTTAGAACTACAATTTTGTTTATCCAAATTAATTTTTTCTTGAATTCATAATGTGCCATTCATTACGAATTCCAATATTGGTAGAATAATTCTCGATCTTCCAATAAATACTTGTATTTGGTCCAAATATTATATTCACTTCGAAATTTATTTTCACTTTAATTCTTCAAGATCTCAAAATTATTAAAAGGTTCTCGAATCAAAGTCCTTAGAATCTAGTTATGTTTTGTCATCATTAAATAATTTTAACTCGTCACATTATCATCTAAAAATATATATTTCTCACTATTTTGCAATCCAATTCGTAAATATTGAATTTTATTTTTTATCTAACACCCCATTTCGAGTTTAAGCACTGAAAATACTTTCTTTTTATGAGACATTCTTACAATATTCTCAAGACTTCAAATTATGGTTCTTAAGACTTTCTCAAAAACTCCTTAAACTTTTTACAATTCACTAAATTGTACCTTAATCGACTTTTTCAATTAATAATTCCTAGAGATTATTATTTGCAGTTTGATAATATTCTTCATCAAGAGAATAATTCTCTTAAATATTATGTTACCCTGATCTATTGAGTTGTCAAAGACGATTGTTATTTTTGCTACTCTTTATCTTTTTTTTTTTTTTTTAGCACTTGAAAATAAAAATTATGTTTTAAGGTCTTATAATAATGAGTCACATAGGGTCGTAAAATTTTCAAGGCTAACCCTGAATGTTATCAGATCTTAAAATCTATTACTTGCTCAGATAAACCAAATAACACAATTCAATTCCATTATCAGCTAAGTAATTGAAAGCATTAAATATATAACAATCATCCAAGATAAAATGGCATCTAACGTCAAAATCTCAAAATTGATATTAAAACATCATAAAAAGGGTTCATTTTCATCTTAGCGACTAAATATGGAGCCGAGCATCATAAAGTTACAAAAATACATGTTTGAGCAATGAGACATCATCCGAATTTTAATTGTAGAAAGAAAAAGAGGAAATTTATTGATTACTTGAATCTCTTCAATTCTTTTTGACAATCTCCCTGGCGACTTCTTTTCTTCTTCCAAAATCCAATCAAAAATCTTCAATTAGTGTGTAAAAATAATGTATTCTTGTAGCTATCCTTTTGTTATCTCTCTAAGCTTACTATGTCAAAATTAGGTCTCCGAAGTAGGTTAAAAACGAGCCCCAATTGCATTCTATAAAGAGGTTGAGTCGAAAAATGAAACAAAATTTATTTTGTCGGGATGAACCACACGATTACATGTTGCGCGCAGAAACCTGCAAAGGGACCCCTGCGATCACATGGTTTTACACCTTGCAATTGCAAGGTTTTTACTTTTGCTAAATTTCACTTTGATCCCTTTTTTTTCTCTTTTTAGCTTGAGTCCTCTTTTGTACTTTTCATAAGCCCTTCAACTTTCACTTTTATCCAATTTCATCCATGTCCTATTCAATTATTATTCCTTGGTCTGAATCAAGTTTTAATATTTATGATTTAGTTCCCAAGCTTTTACAATTATTCTTCTTTAGCCCTTTTTGTCCGATTTTCACTTTTTTTTATCAACATCCTTTCGACACCGCATTTATTATACAACAAACGATATAAAACGAAATTAAATAGTAATTACATCAAATTGACTCTCAAATATTCACTTTTAATAGTTTGGATAAGTGTCAAATCATAGTTATCAATTTTCTTTTAGAAAATTCAAAAAATGATATGAAGAATCTATTTACAAAACAAATTTTATGGGAGTCTTTTTAATATTTAAATTAGAAGAGTTGTCTATATAATTTTCATATATTTCAGGGAAGGCTTATCTAATTATCTATTATTAGAGACTATGCCTCCATTTGACTGTTTTATAAATGGTCAAAAATAATTTTCAATCACATATCTCGATAAACAAATAAGTATTATTCACTTATACATCGTTTATTTCTATTTATTTGTAAACTAGAGGCTATATTATATGTTCATATGTGTGGCCTTGAAATATGCACATGTATGCATAAATTTTCTCGGTGAAAAAACAACAATATCATTATAAATCACCCAGAAAAAGATTTCAATACTATCACAATATAGTTGTATAACCAACCTCATTTATTGCATAATAATGAAGATTTAACTTGTCTACAGAAAAAAAAAAAAACTTGTAGATTGATGCATCGGATGAGACAAGGTCTGTATCTCGACGTTTCATTTAATAAGGATCAGAGAATGATATCTAGACAAGTAGCATAAAAAAAGTTGTCTTGAAAAAAGTATTGCACGTGACTACGTTTTTTTTTTTTTTTTTTTGCTATTATTAAAGACTTGATTTTAATTTTTCTTTTACTATTTAAGTTACCAATCACAAAGTTTGTTATCATTATTGAGTATATGTTGATCTAATGATCTACTATTCTTCTTGAAGTCGATGTTATCGTAGTATACCATCATGACTTCTCAACACCCTCCTATGAAGGAATCACTTTAAATATAAAACCGTAAGACAAATTAGTATACTCCAACAGTTTTTTCACTTATTTTGTTAGTACAGTTTACAGTAACACCACCAACCAATATATATATACATATATAGGAAAATTATAAAAAAACATGGGTTTAAAGATAGCTTTTTAAAAATCAGGTGTTAAGTTTACTTATTCAAAAATCAGGTAATATATTAATAACCCTAATCTCAAACAAAACCTAAATCATTTTTCTTTGACTCTCCTTCTTTTCAATTCTCGTCTCTCTCTCTCTACGCTCTCCCTTACCGCCGCCTGAGTGGAGCAGCGGCATCGCGCAAATCTCCCTCACAGACGTCGGGAACTACACTGCTCCTCCATTCCCCCTCCCTCACAGACCACGTCGCCGAAGACTTGCTATCTTCTCTGCCAGTCCCCTATCTTCTCCTTTCTATCACGATCTGGCAAGTGTGTGCTGTGGGTGTGTGTGCACCGGCGGTTGTTTGGTGGTGTTGGGGAGTTTTTAGGTATTTTTTGTTGGTTGTGCAGGTAGATTGTGTTGGTGGCTATGGCGGATCGACAGCGGTTTTGGTGAGCTTGTGGGGGTGGGGTGGTGCATTGTTGGGTGTGTTTGGTGGGGGGTTTTTGGCTATGGTCGTGGTCTGGTGGCTGTGGTGGTTTATGGCGGTGGTCGTGTAGGCGGTGGGGACGGTGGTTTTGTTGGTGAGGTTGTGGGTTGGGTATAGTTCATTTTGCAGGTAGAGGTGTCGACAGTGCAGTGGTAGTGACGGTAGTCGGTCACTAAATGTTTGGTAATTTGTAACAAATTACTCAACTGTGACATAAAAATTTAATAATATGTGACTCAAAANGTATCAATTTTCATTTTCTATAGTAAATCAATTCTCATTTTTAACCACACATTCTTCAATAAAATAATATTTTCCATCACATCAATACTTTTTTCTTCTTTTTCAACCACACATTTCCCATCATATCACTTTTCAAAAATCAATTCTTCTCCCAAAAATCCCTACCAAACACACTCCTGATTTTTGCATTAATCAAACTTAAAACTTGATTTTTGAATTGTGCATAGTTAATCATTCACTTTTGAACTCTTCCCATATAGTGGTGTTATTTCCCCAAAACATTACCCATACAAAAGGCCCCACTATTCCTCCCTTCATTTCACAATTCATATCCGCAACATGCCCACTTTAGGCCGTAATTTTTATGGGTCTGTTTGGATTGGATTAAAATCTGATTTTAATTTAAGCCAAAATCAAACAATTAATATTAATCACATCTTTCATGAGTTTCACATCTTTTCAACCACATATTTCAAAAACTTCTATCACAATCCACAAAAAAATCTGATTTTAATCTCAATATCTTTTAATCAATATTTATACAGTGTACAATACAAAAATGAGTTTATGCTAAACACAGCCCGCACCCCTACTACTTACTCCCAAACCCACCCCTACTCCCGTAACCCCACCCGCAAAAAGACACAGAATTCACAGCTTCTGATTATCCTTATCTTGCTCGGGAAGGATTCATCCTTTCTGAACGCATCATACAACTTTTCGACTCCTGAACCGTTTGCTTACGTTACGTTTCTGAGCAGACAAACCATCATATCGAGCCAATATTGTTAGCCTTTCAACGTTAAATCATGGAAAGAAAATATCAGAAGATAAGAGAAAAGGATGAAGAGAAAAAGCAACCAGAGCTATGTGCAGCAGCAGCAGCGGCCTGCTCACCACCTTCAGCTTCATCGTCTCCTGAATTCTCCTTCTCCATGTCTCTCCATCCATCGGCCACAAAAATCCCAGCCGGTAAAAATAAATCATCCCTTCCTTCGTTTGCTTTAGATTTATCTCCAGCAGATGATATATTCTTTCATGGCCATTTACTTCCTCTCCATCTCCTTTCCAACCTTCCGATCTTGCCACGCTCTTCCACCAATTCTTTGGATAGTTTGACGCTACCCATAAAAGAACTAAGTAATGAAGGTAACAGTACTGATCACCAAAACTTCGATGAAATCAATGAATTTGAAGCGAAAGGGAGGGAAAAGTCGAAATCTTTCTCTTTATTCGGGCTATCAAAGTGGAGAAAAGGGTGTGAACATAGAGCAAAGGAAGAGAAGAAGACGACAAAGTTGAAGTTCGAGTTAAGTCATGTGGTGAAAAGGTACATGAGAATGGTTAGGCCATTGTTTTCATTCAAAAACAGAAGAGGAAATGCTGACTTTGGGAGACAACCTTATTCACTTTCGGGGAATTTAATGTTTAAAAACAAGAAAGAATTGAGAGGAAAGAGAGGTGAATTTTCGGCTCCAGCTTCAATGAGGACATCTCCAAGAAATAGTGGTCTTTTAGTGGCTACTGGCAATCTTACTCCAACTAGTAGTAGTGACAGCACCATGGAAGAATTGCAGGCAGCAATTCAAGCTGCAATTGCTCATTGCAAAAAGTCCATAGTAATGGAAGATAAATTGAATTCCCGTGAAAAGATTTGATGATGAAAATCTTTATTATATGATTTTTTTTTTTTTTTTTGTTCATATTTGGCCTGGATATAACCATTTTTCTGTGTATAATTATTTAGATGGAAGTAGATATGTTATAAGTAATATATATAATTCAAGTCTCTATTTATAGTTCATGGAAAAGCCATAAATTTCAATTAAATTCTGTTTTTTTTTTTTTTTGGTCTTTTAGTTTTTTAATATACTGTTGATGCTAAACGAATTAGACTTTGAAGCGGTTGACTCTTGGGACTGGTGATATGCTCATCCAGCTATTCTTGTGAATGAGTAATGTTATTCATAATGAAGAATACTGACAGTTGCCCTAAGTTGCAAACATGTATTGCTTTGTCATTTGATGCATGAAGCAATATAAAACTATCACATTAATGCATCACATAACACAGTGACACATGTACGTACAGCGACCATCAATAGTTTTTATTATGAATAGCATTATTCCTTGTGAAAGGTCGCAGAGAACTCTTTGGGGAACGTTTGTTGATTAAGTTGATGTTTGGAAATTCGAACTTAGCCGAATCCGAAATTGTTGCTGCACATTTTGTTTTCAAGTGAATGAACTTATGATGGTCTTATTCGAACAGAGAGTTGAGTCTCCATAAATATAAGAATAAATTGATGAGTTAAAGTTATTTTTCAGTTTATTTTTGCAAATTAATACTGCCGAGCTATAATTGGCTTTCTTGTTTTCCTTCGATGATAAAAGCATTTACTTTCATTTCGAAATTTGCACGTGGGAAGGTTGGAGATATTCTGATGATTCTATATTGTTGAAGTTTGAAAGGTCGAGGATACCTTTCTTTTTTGTGCTGGAGAAAAATCATTTTTTTGTTCACATGCAGGTACTGTGTAATTGTTAATTTTCTTCGGTTTAATTAGGAATATCAACAAGTCGAGTCGAGCCGACTCGCAAGCCGAAACTCGGGCTTGGCCAAAAGATCTCGCTCAAACCTTATCGAATCTAGTCGGCTCATGACTTTTTGTATTTTTTTTTTTTTTTTTTTTAAAAAAAGGCAGCAGGCAGCCAGTTGCTGTAGCTATATGATTTAAATTTTTTTTATTTTAAATTTGTTAGTCATTGGCCAAAAATGAAATTTGCTCGTCATGGACCAAAAATGCTGCCCCAAGCAGGCTCTGGCTAGGGCCAATGCTCCAAAATGGGGCTTGGCCCGAGCCTTGACTCAGTTCTACCGGATTGGCTCGAGCTTTTCTTGAATCGAGCGATTAACCGTCCGTCCGAATCGACAAGTAAAATTGACACATTAATTTTAATGGACCAAACATACCACGTGCATATCTTTATTAGAAAAAGGTTGTAACAGTCGTTGAAACAATACTTTAACGTCAAGATAAACAAATAAATGTGGACACGTGACTTACCAAAAAGAAAAAATAAATTGAAATGTAAAAGCATAAACATGACAAAATGGTTGTGGGTCTTGTGATTTGATCTAGGTTCTTCGAGTAACTTTGTTATATTTGGTACACAAATATTAAAGATAACCAAATGAAATCATATATGCTCCGGAGTTACAAATAAGTAACTTATTGTGTTGACTCTACTAGATAGAATAGAATTTGTATTTTTTCGAAAGAAGAGCTTGATCACTTTGAAGAGCTTGATCTACCAGTTTACAAATTCTATATATTTTTTAAATTTTTTATTCTCAAAATCCAGCTTTTTACTCGTGAAATATTTTTACACTAAATTTTGTAACACGGTGCATTTTAAAAAATGGTAATTAGCACGTAACGTCCCCACCTTTTATTGTTATTATGAAAAACGTCCATACCTTTCATTTTTTGATATTTTCACCCTTATTTTCACATTTCATTGCATAAAAGATCATTTTCACATATTTGCTCAATTAAAAATTAAGAAATGACGAATATACCACTCTCTTCAATAAAACAAAAAGAAAAAGAAAAAAATTAATTGCAATCACAGTCCCAATTTTTTTTTAAAAAGCGCAAATAAATCACAAATAAATTATTAAAATGATAATTAGCACATAATCTCTCTATCTTTCACAATTATTGCGAAATATGTCCATACATTTCATTTTTATTTTATTTTTTTTGCATTTTCATCCATAATTACACATTTAATTGTACAAACCATCATTTTTCAATAAAAAACAGTGAAATAATGAATATACCATTCTATTTAAATAAAAAATATATATTTTTAATTTCTAATTCTTTAATAATTTATTTGGGACTCGTTTGCACTTTTTAATTTTTTTATTTTTAAAATTTTTAAATAAATTTAATTGAGACTCGTTTGCACTTTTTAAAAAAATTGAGACAATGGTTGCTACTCGTTTGCACTTTTCTTTTAAAAAAATTAAATTTTTTTAATAATATATTGGAGACTTCTTTGCACTTTCTTTAAAAAAAAATTGGGACTATAGTTGTAATTAAATCTTTAGCTTTTTATTTAAATAAGAAGGTATATTCGTCATTTCACAGTTTTTTATTGAGAAATTGGATAAAAATTGATAGAAATGATGGTTTGCGTTATTAAATGTGTAATTAAGGGTGAAAATGCCAAAAACAAAAAAGGTAGAGACTTTTTTTGCAATAATCGTGAAAGGTAGAGACATTATGTACTAATTACCTTTTTAATAATTTATTTGTAACTTATTTGCACTTTTTAAAACAATTCGGAACTGTAATTGCAATTAATTTTTTTTTTTATTTAAAAAGAATGATATATTCGTTATTTCATAATTTTTAATTGAGAAAATATGTGAAAATGACATTTTGCTCAATGAAAGGTGAAAATAATGATGAAAATACCAAAAAAATAAAATGTATGGACGTTTTTCACAATAACAATGAAAGGTGAGGACGTTATGTGCTAATTACCCTTATGAAAAATTATATGACAAATATTTCACCAACTTGTTCCCCCCATCACCTTCGGAGCCATATCACCCCTTGTAGTACAGTGTGTTATACACTTTTTGTCGTCTACTTTCACCATCGTTGGAGACAAATGTTGGAATGTGGAAATAGAATTACTCGAATATAAAATTCTATAATTCAATATACAAGATCTTCTAGACATTAATGTGTATGTTATATTAAAAATAAATAATTCAAATGTTTAATTAAATTCGATGGTTAATTCCTGAATTAATCCTGAATCGTGAACTTCAAGCTTTTTGTACACAAGTTTTAAGCATTTTAATTCCAAAAACTTGATACTCAAAACCTCCAAATTTTCTATAGTATTCTTCAAAGTCAATACTACACNCACCGAGTCTTCTATGGTATTTTTCGAAGTCAAGATTATACCTCGGGGGGGCACATTCTTTTAATTAAATCAAGAAACTAATTTTTGGTCTGGACAATTAAATAAAGTAAGAAAAATATTTTCTCTCTTTTTCTCTCTCCAAATTTGAACACTATAGAATTATTGTATTATGTTTTGTTGTGTTCAATAGGATGTCTAAGTTCCATGTAGTCTATATTTTATAGAGATAAAATAGTTTTAATCCATATATAATAATAATTTCACATTTAAATAGGAGTCTTAATTGAAATCCAAATAAAAGTTTTAATTACAGTCAAAGTTCAATTAGTTTATATTTAATTACATGTGTAGCCCTATAACGCCAATCACAATTACAATTACAATTAAGTTTACAACTTTCCTAACAATTGCAGTTAATTCAAAAACTTTAAGTTTTATTTTAATTACAATTAAACTTAAAGTTTTTAAGTTTTTATAATAATTACAATTAAGTTTCAATATTTTATAGAACTACCACATAGACCTAATCAGACATATATTATTCAAGCTCTAATAATTAAAGTTTAGTCGATCATAAACCACTCAATCTAATTATTAGTCTTTTTTTATACTAAAAACAAAAGACTGTTCTCTCGGAATATATACGGTAACAGAAGTCAATAAATCTGTAATATTTTCATTTGACCTACCGTATATGTGTTTTATTCTCATTCAATATTCAATAATTAGAAATGAGCATAAATGATCGTTTTGTCAATCTAATTATTCTTACTAATTCAACGGTCTTGTAAACTAATCATAGATGTAGAAGTGTAACCATCGCTAAACACTGAGCTCAGATTTTTACGATGGTTCCCGATATGAATTCATGTATTCTACTTCGTTTATTCTCAAACTCTCAACTCATCAAGATATTTGACAAATTAAATTGATCTCACCCATTAGTGAATCAAATAACTATTAAAGTCACGAAAAGATAAACATAACCAAGTTGAAGAATTTAGATGAAATACATGGTGATCAAGTGAAATTTAATTCTCCGCACGGTCATGCTATAAAATTAAACTCGACATGTTGCCTATTCAATATACTCCAAGTGTACTAGTGTCACCTTTAACTATTTATACAAAAAGGACAAACACAAACCCAAATAGTCGATCAACACTACAACATTCCAGTACAAGGTGTCAACCCTTATACATTGGTTGAACAAATTATTTATGATCAAAATATAAATTGGATCACGCTATACTTCTCAACACAAGTGCCCAATTTATATTATTGTAAGTAATCATAATCATTTTAACGTGCATGCTCAAAAATAAATAAATAAATAAAATCACAATTTATTTATTATCAAATATTATTTCATCGTAGCAAAATATACTATTTGGGCATACAACCCAACAAATCTCCCACTTGCCCATAGATGTGCCATGTCTTGTACTGCAGAAAACCTTAGTCGATAGGCTCTTCGTGATCGAATCTACAAGGTTATCCCCAGTAGCAATCAGACAACCACATTTTCTCTACCATCTTTCTTAAAAGATAATATTTTCGGTTCAATGTGACCCCTCTCATGACTTTTGGCTTTTTAGCATTTGCCACAATGTTACTGTTATCCCAATATAGTGTAAAAGATTGTGGAAATGCAGGTACCACCTTGATGTCTGTCATGATTTTTTTAGTCATACAACCAGTTTAGCAA